CATCTCACCATCTTTTTATTCCTACCTCATTGGATGTTAGAAATTATTAAGTATTTTAACTTCTCTAGTATGGGCAAATGAACTGATATATGGGAATATTAACGTATGGGAATATTTATGGTTAATTTCCAGAATGTAAGTTTTTAAACATGAATGGGGAAATCCCCTGGACAATTGACATTAAGCATTTAAGCATTTGCATTCCCCTCCTGGAGCCAAGTGATCATCTTGATTTATTAAATAATGAAATTAATGGGGTATGAAATAACTCTTAGAATGGGTCAGATCATATACCGTATTTTTCGGTGTATAAGATGCACTCACTCCCTCCCTCCCAAAAATGGGTGGAAATGTCTGTGCTTTTTATACAGTGAATGTTGCCGAAGCCCTGCCCACCCACTGGCCCCCACCCTTTGGCCTCTGCCTCCCAGCAGTTTGCCTCCTTGCAAACAGCCTAGTCAGCTTCAGCACAGCCTAATTAGAACAAGCAGCTGATTGTCGGTTGATCTCACTCCCGATGATCAGCTATTCCAGGCCGCAGGGATCGCCTATTGCCATCTCCATGCACCCCTTTTTCAGCTTCAGCATCCCATTTTTGGCCTCCATGTACCCCTTTTTTGACCTGTTCCAATCCCCACCACCTGCAACAGCAGAAAATAGGGCATGCAGAGGCGGCAATAGGGATCCCTGCAGCTTGAAACAGCTGATAGTTGGGAGGCCGATTCAACAGACAACTAGTTGCTTGTGCTAAATCAGGCTGTGCTGAAGCTGACCACACTGTTTGCTGCAAGGAGGCAAATTGCTGGAAGGCAGAGGCAGATTTTTTTTCTTGTTTTCCTCCGCAAAAGCTAGGTGCATCTTATACTTTGGAATGTCTTATAGTCCAAAAAATATGGTATATAGTGAAACCCATCTGAATTCTTAACTTTGCAATAGTACAGGCAAGCAGGTTGTTTTTGTCTATCCCCAGAAACTGATATTGTTTTACCACATTAAGCAGCTAGTACCCACCATGATACATAGGATGGGGGAAGTTCTTTATAATTAATTCTGTCCCAGCTTGGACTGTAGAACTTGGGCAGATTCTAGGGATAACTTTGACAATATTTTGGATTCCTTTCAGTTTGTATATATTAAGGAAGTAGACAGGAGGTGCAGAATGATAATAGCTATTACCTGGTTATGCAATTTTCTGTTTTCTGGGCTGATTTAAATAGCCATGATAAACCATACTAGCAGAAATTATCATTATCTCCCTGTATTTTTCTATTTCAGAGAAGTCAGTTAAGGTTGATAGCATTTGAATGATTTTGTGAATCCATTTTAATTGAGCTTTTGATCAAGATAAGATAATGAAACAACCTTCTGGACTGCTTTAGGATTGAGGTTTGGTATTGTTTCACAATGTTTCCAGTTTTCTTGACAAATAATATCCAGATGGCAGTATGATTTGTGTTCCTATTATCTTGTCTTGAATGTAATTTTATATCATTATTCGACATGAATTTGATAGGGGAATGTTTTCTACAATTCTGATATCAGTTGTCAATACTAGACTGATGTTATTCAGTTCTATACTCCTTGTACACTGATTCTAAGCATCTGGTAAATTTGAACGTTACCCGAATTTGATAATAGGTAAATGTTACTGTTGGTTAAAAAGATGGCCTGGATTCTGAGACTGAAATATATGCTGTTTTTAATAAGATTGCAGTCCCAGTGAAATGCTGCTTTGAGCCCTAAATCCCATTGAATTTGCAGATACTGAGGAATGTGCAAGATTAGATTTATACAAGTTGTCCATATGCTGGTTACATCCTATTATGACTGTTGCAATACATACTGTGAGCTACCCCTTGAAGTGTCCAAACATTTCAGTTGGTGCAAAATCCAGCAGGCAGATTGCCAAATTATGCAAGGTGCAAAGTTCATAAACTGCTGGCACTGGTTACCAATTGCCTCACAAGCATACTTTAAAAGGTTGCTATTCTTAAAGTCTCAAATGGCTTAGGGTCTCATTACAAACTTATTTGGTTAACATTGGGAGACTTCCCACCCCCACTCATGTCATTTTTAAACACATCACACAGATGTAGCTTCCCTTTGGTCATGAAAAATAGCACTTTTTCCTGCATTGTTGGTTCATCACATTCTTTATTGTTAATGGTTTTTCTTGCTAATTTTAATTTGCATTGTTTTTTAAACAAAATTTTGTTAGCTACATGTAATACCCAATAGAAGTGTAAAGAGCAGCATATTCAAATAAATAAATAGCATTTATTATTTCTTTTGGAGAAGCGGACACAGGATAAATCTATTTAAAACTCTTGCAGATCAATTATTGTCCTATTTTGTCTAAAAACTGAAAGCAATCAGTTCAGTTGTCTCTATAGTTGATTTGGTTTAGGTAATTTATCCAAAAAAATTGATTGAATTGTCTGAAACTAAGCTTCTGTAACTTCAGCATGCCATCTGTTAAAATATGAATATTAACCTTGAATAATTTAAGGCCTCTGCATAAAACATGTTTCTTACTGAAGTACTGAAATGAGCATATAGAAAACATGCTCTGTATTTTTACTGTATATCATGACTGAATATAGTGTTCACAGCCTATTAATTGTCAACACATGGGATCTGAATTCAGTATATGATTGACTATACAGTCCAAAACTTGTTCTTGACATGAGTTGTGCTGATTGGATCTATGAACTTTGTTTCTCTTGATCCATATTCAACTGTGACTGCCAATAGACCTTTAACAGATACACCAGCTAAAAAGCATGGTACAATTGAGAATTATAAGTATACATTTTAGGATCTGTATAGAAGCCTCAGAAAATGCTCTTGGGAAGTCCTAATGCTTCTACTGAACCAATAGTACCCCGCCAGTTATTGTTTTTATTACCAGTACAAAATACCAAGATATATAAAATGTGCTGGCAAGAGCAGAAAAAAGTTGACTTAAGAACTTGCTAAATTATAGTTCATATTTGTTTGACTAGGAACACAGACACTGCTTTTGTTTAAAAAGCATCACTCATTGTTATGCAGGAAGGAAGTTACAGCCAAATTAAATATATATACATGGTCCTCCAGAGGTAGTTTTTCTGGGCATTCACAGAGTAGCAATGAACTTAAATACAATTCAGAATAAACTTTAGGCTAACTATGATTTCAGAAGTATGAATCAAATACTCTGAACTTCAAAGACAGACTGATAAAAACTGGGACTGTTTTCTTCAAGCTATCATTTATTTTAATCAGTTCACAACTTTATGTCTGAATTAAAAGAATACTCATTTGCATTCAGGTCACCTTAGTTTGTTTCTTTATAATTAGCCATTTTGCCCATGGATAACAAAGCAATTATGTAACAAGTATATATTAGTATATATGACATTTGTTAGGATTGATAAGATGCAGAACTTCAGAGTGCATGAAGTCAAACCATCCACATGTATATGAGCTTCCCCCCAAATTAACACAAACTCAAGGAATAATTCATTAACATAAAATATGCAATTTGTTCACACTAGAGCTCCATTTTCTTTTCAAAGATCTGACTTTAATTCAATGGTGTACTATTTCAATGAGAGCATGTTAATAACTTATGATGTGAACGTTTTTGCTTCACTACAAAAAGCTTTCAACTTTAACAGTGTTTGCTATTAAAGAATTACATTTTTGCCACTTGATATTGGTGTTGTTAACAGTGACAGTGAGGTAGATGATGACCACACATTTCAAGTTATTTATGGGCCACCAATACTTTACAATAGCCAATTCAATGCGTATCTATGAATGAACTCAGCGGAACTTTTTTCTTATAGCATACATAAGACTATAGCCTTAAGTTTTAACACCATGATCATGTATTTGCCACACTGAAGTGATGCATGGCATCAGAGCATGTATATGTGTGTGTGTGTGTGTGTGTGTGTATTCATTACACTCCTAAGATCATGAACATTTCCATATTTATTGTTACAATATTAACTTTCTATGCCAACTATGCCCAAGAACTCAAGTGAATATACAAAGGACAGCTTCATCTACCCTATCATACAGTATATTTAAACTTGATTCATGTGTAACAATTTTAATAAAATGTCAAAGCTGGAATTTAAAATTGTAAATTTCACATAATCTTGGTTCTTCAGCTTTAATACTCTGCAAAGGCTTTGTTGGCAAATAGACAACTTTCAGGAAAGATATGCAACTCAACAGTGTCAACTGTTTTACTTCCAGTGATCTAAGTATGTAGAAGACTGGTTCTGCATCTGTATAAAACACAACTACTTAGAAGAATATATATCACAATTCTTAATAGGAATAAAATATTATTCTAAGCAGTCTAGTCTTCATTTAAAGCAATGATTTCATATTCTAAACACTCCTTAATTGCAAAGTCATCTTTTTATAAAGTATATAGCTACCTCATAAGTAATATATTTGTCTAAATCCTGGCTTGAGAGTCCAAAAAACAGCCAGACATTTGGAAAGACATATCAGGAATTGCCACATTAGATTCAGATTGGAAGAACAATAAAGAAAAAAAAATTAACCCAGGGAGCAAGAATTCTATTTCGGAGCTGGTTTGAATTCTATTCACAGTTAATGTTATACAGCAATAATATAGCACAAATTAGTATTCAAATACTGTTAATATTTGTCCAAATAAATGGGTACATCCCTGGTCAGGAAATTGAGTTTTAACTGAAGGTGCCATTACTCTTTGGGCAGCAGGAGGAAAAAAATGCCATAAATGCAACAATTTATTCGCAAAATATATCCAAATCTTAAACAGAAAGTACAACAATGGACATTTTCCACTACACATATAAGTATCTCCATCTGCAAATATAATTGAATGTGTGAGCAATAGGTGATGCTTCTTAACAGATTGCCACGGTTATATATTCAGCATGACCTTCTCAAAAATAAGTCCCAGATATTACAGAAGCATTATAGAATATTAGAATATTCCCAGATATAGAATTCATTGACCATTTATCTAATGAAAATCTAACTCACTGAGATCCAATAAAGTATATATAGTTGCATATTCCATGCAACTACATGACTATATTGCAATTTGTGAAAACTGGAGAGCTATTTTTCAAATGAAGAGTTTACACAGATGAAACCAGTTAATACACAGACTAGTGTCCATAAGTTTTCTATCTGGATATGTATTTATTTTCTGATAACTAAATTTAAAAAAAAACTCAACACTATGCTGCATATTTTTTTAAAATCTTTGTGCATTAAAGGTTCCTAGTAAATTATGGCTACATGTGAAAGGATATAATAAATGGGGCACATTTAAGGTCACTTAAATTTGTTATTTATATTATCAACTCAAATGGCTGACTTCTGCAGGATTTCTTAGAGGAATCCAGTAGAGCTGGTTTCGAGTTTCAGATGGCCACCAAAGAGTTGTAACCTTTTCCAGAAGTTGTGATCCACATGGTATCCACAATGAGTGCAGCAAGTCTGAGGTAGGCAACCTTTACGAAGGCTCAGTATCTGAACATAAAAAAATTTGAAATAACCACTGGCTGGAGAGGAATCAAAACACCGGGAACTCTTGTTTAACAATTTACATTAATTTCCCTTATAATACAAAGGTGTACCAAATTAAGTATACTTTCAAAGTGCAGAAAAGCAATCACTTACGTCAAAGTAGTCTGCACTTGTTGTAGAAGATCCAGCAGAAACAAGACGGCATGTTCATAATTGGTGTAGTTTAGTTACCTTAAGAGTGGAAGGGTATCAAACAACCATTCCTTAATTGAAATATGTGTGCAGATTTACTGATCCCCAAGCACAGCATATTGGTTGTCTAGCTGAAGTTTAGTTGCCTGAGATTTTGAAACCTCATCCCTACCTCTATTTTTGTGTTTTACTACTTCAAAGCTCTTCTCCATTTCTTTATCCCTAAGGGAAAATAAATGTAATCAGTAACTGTCTTAGACATACTTGCCCTTTAGCAATATTAATTAATGACACGAATTTAGTTGCAAAATTCCATGACTAGGGCCCTAACAAAGGAGACCATAATCCAAAGAAGTATTGCAGGCATGATTAAGGGCTTGCATATGTACTGATGACATTTCTCTGAACAAACCTCAATGCCATTTCATTAACTAATTCTGAAGTGACACACTGGGTTCTGTTATATAAACATATAAATTTAAAAGTTTTGATAGCATTACTGAGGCAGTTCACTGCATTGCAGACACAAAAATGTATCCCAACTTCTCAGACTAACACTGCAACATGTCAATAATTATGAATATGGGAATGTCCTAAATTAGAAAATATTCCAAAGCATAGGCTAAATGCAAAGAACCACATATCTTATTTCTGCATGCTTGCTTTTTGAACTGAACTTGTCTCATGTGAAAGCATCTACTGACTTGGAATACTTATTTATAAACAGTCTGTTACAAGAATATTGATATTCAAATAAAATCAATTATGTAAGGAGTGTCTAAAACACACATTCTTAACACACTTATAATCCCAAATGCAGTAACAGATTACGAAACAAATCTGGCAAATGCCACCTTTGTGTACATTATGGTACAAATACTGTAATTTACTGTTTAAGTTAAACTTTGATAAACCTAAAATGAAAATTTGAACCACTTAGTATCAGGTACAAGACTGAAGTTTTGCAATGGAACAAGTCCCCTAGAAGATAATTTGATATTAGGAATGGGCCCAGATCAAGTTATATAACAATCTCACATCCCACTTCTCTAAATAGCACTGCATAAATCAAGACCTTTTTTTAAAAAAAAATTCAATCTGAACTGCAGGTAAAATCCATAACCTCCCTAGTTATGCTTAAAACACACTTGCTTCCTCTAGTGCAGATCACATTGTATACTTGTTTATGATCTGTGGATAAAACTATGAGATTGCTAGGTTTGGAGAAGAATGATTTTAAGGAAATATTTTAGATTATTGTGATACTTACTTTCTAGTATCTACTTGCTTGGCAGTGGACTGCAATGATGGAAATTGTGTATCACTATAGATCTCTGGGGGACCTTGTGGCACTTTTCGTGTCCTGCCTTCTCTTGCACCAGGTGGCCTATATACTCCACTGGATTGCACTGGCTCTGGATTTTCTGTAAAGAATTTAAAAACTTAAACAATCAGATGTAATTAGATAAATGTTACGTGAAATTTTTCAATTTAATATTTAATTATTATTTTTAATTTAATTAATATTTAATTAATTTATTATTTAATTTATTTAATTCTACACTCAATAATCTGGCTATATAAGTAAAGACTCCTTTGTATCAGACAATCTATTATTTAATCAAGTTAGAAATAAAATATTTCCAAAGGAATATTCATTTTTAGCAAGAAATCATATCTATATTTCAAGTTTATTCAATAGATTTTCATTCAGCTAAAAATGAGATAAAATGGCTGATTCAGTAAATATTGGTAAATTAAAAGGAACATAGAGCAAAACTCACCAATAATTTCAGCAACAGGTATTTGTGTAGGAGCAGACCTATTCCAAGGACCAGATGATTTCTCCACACTTCCAGCTGGTTCCTCACTGTTATCCCTTGGTTCTTCTTTTTTATCACTTTCTTCTTCTTCTTTTTCACTGACAAAAAAAAAGCTATTGCAGCATTCATCACTTACGTAAACACATTCATATTATAATATGTAAACTGTGTAATATGTAGTACTTAGCATACAGTAGTACTGAAAGTATGTCATTTAAAATAAGAGAATATCTCCAATCTCATGCTATGACATTTGATAACTGACAATTAGAACACAATCATGTCAATAACTATAGGCTCCTAATAAAGATGATGCAAAATGTTTAGATATGAAAAAAACTTGTTTTTAATAATCAACAACTAATTACTGAACAGTAATTTCTCCATCGCACAGAAATATTAAAACGTTTAAGAACAGCAAGTATTGTTCATGTTTTGAAGCAATACTAGCTACTGTGTGGCAAGCTTAGAGATAAGACCTGACTAAGTTTTTCTTCACCTAGAACTTGCAATAACTGAATCATTCATAAATACAGAACTATAGTTTTCAATATATACCTATATACTTTCAAGACAATAATACCTAATTTGCATGGACTGAACTCTGAGGCCACTGTAGTCAATTATTTCTTCCTGCTCAAATTCTTTCCAGTCATCCTCCTCCTGCAAGATGAAGATTACGTAGGCTCATTATTCTTAATAAAAGACAATCACCATTGGAAGCTATAGAATGACTGTCACAGAAAAAAAGTCATCCTGCTAAGATTTAAATATTCCCAACTCTTCTATTATATCAGAAGCTGAACAGTGCCAATTTGTAACTAGATAGACTATTTCCACTTCTCAACATTCCATAAATATCTCATAATACACCTTATTTTCAGTTTCCCCAAAAAATATGACCTACCCCAAAAATAAGCCCTAGTGAGGGGATGGGAATAGCCAGCCTGTGTTTCCCCTCACAAACACAGGCAACTATCCCTGAGGTGTGGCAACTCCTTCCTATCCACAATCACTTCAATCGACCCCTTAATCACGGTCCCATGGATCAGCTGAGTCAGCGAGGGTCGAGAGCTGCCTCTCATTCTGTCTCTCCAGGTGTCTGAAGTGTTTCTCCACTCTTGCCAGCCTCGGCACCCCACAGGCAACTTCGTAGCCAAGGGCCCCTCTCTTCCCTCAGCTCATCTTGTAGCTCTGGAGCAGGCAGCTAACCATGCTTCATCAGGCCTGGAGCTCGGGTCTTGTGCAGGCTGCTGCTATGACAAGGCAGAAAACCATGCAGCACGTTGAGATAGACTTCTCCTCCTGCCCCTGCTGCTGCTGGTCTTGCAAAGGCTCTTTGCCCTCCTAGCTGATGGCTTTCGGCCACCCTGCAGCTTTGGCAGGCAGGCACTCTGTGGTGGCACTGCAATGCCCCTTCCTCCTCCATCCATCTGCTCCTGACTGATGCGAGACAATTTTGGGGCAGCAAAGGAAAAAGGGGCAATCTCCCCTCCCTCCTCTGTCCCACTGCAGAGCTTCTACAGAGGATTGGTAGGAAAATCTCCCTGCCACACACACACACTTGCAGATCACTTTCTGAAAGAATTCTGACCCTGCCTGCCCATTGTGCAGAAGTTTCCAATCTTTCTCCCTCCTGCATCGCAAGTAAAATCAAATGATTAATGAGGTATCCAACAAAATCCAAGGAATGGCCAAAATTCTGCCCCTCTGCTCCACCCTACTCACCTAAACCAGATCCCCTCTCTGCACATCAATTTTCCTGATATGTGAGAACAAAGCAAACCCAGCACCAGGCAGAAGCAGCCCAGTAGGGCTGCTGAGAGCAGCATGGCCAGGAAGGGAAGAGCCCCATGAGGCCAGCAGCAGCAGGCCAAGCAGCGGGCAGAGGCGTGGGGGAAAGCGATCCTGATGCGCCATGCGGCCTTCTGCCTCATTGAAGCAGCAGTCTGAGCAAGACCTGAGCTCTAGTGCCCAGCAGCAGCAGTGCCAGCAGGCAGGGAGGGCAGAGGCTAAGGCATGCCAAGAACTTGGTCTGTTGCAGCCACAGGCAAGTAATTTTGGGATAGAGGGCGGGGCCAACGGTAGCAGTGCTCCCACTCCCATCATCCCCTGTGCTTGCTGCCTCCTGTAGGTAAAAAAATTAAGACATCCCCCAAATAAGGCCTAGTTCTTATATTCAAGCCCAAAAGAAAATAAGACCAGATCTTATTTTCGGAGAAAAGCGGTAGTAATTAAATGTTTAATTAAATTTTTATTTCAAAATATATACTATATAGAACTCTTAGTAATGTTTAATACAGTAAAATTCTAGTGTTATGCAAATTGATTCCAATTGATTCCTATTTTAAAATTAAAACTTAAAATTTAATCATACTTGCAAGATTGTAAAACCTCTCTACAATATCAAAGATAGCATATTGTGTAGATTTTCTGATATTTAGTCATATGTCCCCACTTTCATATAGAAGTTAGCTTTGATCTGACTAATTCAGTTTGGTTTAAAAGGGAACAGTGAAATCAAAACTCCTCAATCTCTTAAAAGCAAGCTTGCAAAGGAATGAAAAGGAGGAGAGAGAATTGGCTATATTTTAGTGTAGACCCAAGTTACTATCTACCTTTGAAGATACAAAACTTGTATTTCTCACTAACATGCTGTGAAGAAAACATCTGAGAAAACATAAATGATTTGCAAGTTAAAAACTATTTTGCTGAATTATGACATATACATTTGGTCAACAATGTATTTAAGATGGAATGGATCTTCATTTACCATTAACTGATGTAGGCCACATTCATCCACTTATTTGCAAAAATCCCTTCCTCTCCAAGAGTCAGAAGGAAATCAGACTACCCTAAATCTTTGCTGTTCTACACTGCACTCTTACAGAATGGATTGATGCTGTATTATAACAAGCAATATATTAAGGGCTGTGAGTGGTGGTTCTTTATTTGAAATTCCTAGTCTCTATATATTGTTTTGCATTTCAATTATTGAATGCTTTAATATTCCTTATAACATGCCAGCACAATTCAGACTAGAAAAGGCTACAAAAAGAAAAGGCACCAATCAGTTATTTAGCAACTAGTAGCACAGCAGCAACAATGAATTGGCAGTGTCAAAGCCTGAGGATGCTCCATAATATATCTTTTGAGGTAGAGGAGGCTGATCCTTCCAGATGATAGCAATGTTTGGACAAGTGAATTTGCTGAGTTTTTAAAAACTGGCAGACTGCACAAGGCTGTTTGTCCATAGTTTATACCCATAGCTTGGATGTTTAAGCACTAGATATCAAAGAGATAGAATGTTTTGTTTATCCTTGGCTACCATTTGGTAGTGATCCAGTTCTTTGCAATCAATGCACATGTGCTGAATAAAGCTTTGTTGAAGAATAAAAAAGGTAAAGGTTTCCCTTGCATATATTAGTTTCTGGCTCTAAGGGGTGGTGCTCATCTCCATTACAAAGCCGAAAAGCCAACACTGTCCAAAGACATCTCCGTGGTCATGTGGCCGAAGGTGACTAAATGCCAAAGGTGCACGGAACACTGTTACTTTCCCACCAAAGAAGTCCCTATTTTTCTACTTGCATTTTTACATGCTTTCAAACTGCTAGATTGGCAGAAGCTGGGACAAGTAACAGGAGCTCACTCTGTTATGCAGCTCTAGGAATTCGAACCACTGAACTGCCGACCTTTCAACAAGCCCAGCCACTGAGCCATCGTATCTTTTTGTTGAAGAATCAAGTTTGCCAAAAGGTTTGAGAAATCATGAGGAGCCAAGTTTTTCTTGGGAGCAATAGCCATTTTCAAAGAGAATGAGACTACCTTAGTAAAAAAGACAAGTCCAATTACAAATAGCTCCTACAATATCCCCAACTTGCTCTTAATCTCTACCCAAGCTGACTTGACCTTGATTGAGATGTCTTAGTTGTTCTAAGTATTTTTGGGGGGGATTTCCTCCTCAAGGGGAAGAGCAGGCAATTACACTGAATTCTGAAACTTAGCCTCTTGTTATATATGGACAGTTTCACAGATGGCATGCCTCCTCTTGCAGTCATCAATAGCCTTGCTTTCCTGCATAATTTGTTCGGGGATATGTGTGAAGAAAAATTAGTATATTGTTTTAGTCTAAAGTACCATGAATCTTGAGAACTAGAGTCATATAGAAGCAATGCTGAATGAGATAAATTTTGGTCCGATCCAATGCATTGTGAATACATTTATATTTAATGGCTGCTTTTGGAGGGAGGCCATAAAACCGTAATAACCGTGTACCATTATCATACTTTATACATTGAAGCCCATTCTTATTCTGCCTCAACAGCAACAGTCCTGAGTGCGAGTGGGAGACAAACTTGGACAAGCAAGACTGAGCAATTCTCCACCTTGATCCATAAGTCGCCCCCCATACCAGCCTATTTTCTAACAAAATGGATTCCCATTGCCCCTAACCTCGGCCCTGGCCCCACGAGCCTAGAAAGCTGACAAACTGGCTCCCACGCGCCCGAGAGAAAACCCAAGATGGCCTAGCTGGGATGTAGCGACGCCCTCTACCGAAAGGAAGTTACCAACGCCCATAGGAAGTACTCGCGATAAAGTTTCCTCCTCCTCTCCAATTCTCTTCCATCCTAGTTCCTGGCCAACTCGAGCCCATAACTCTCCCAGTTCTCCCTGATCGGTCTAGGCTCCTTACCTTGTTTGCCGCCTTAGCAGTGCCAGTGGCCGCGTTAGCATTAGAGGCGGCCCCATGGGCGCCTTCTGCTTGCCGGCTTCCCCCAGTCACACCCGCGGCAGGGGCATTGGAAGAGGCAGCCGAGGAAGGCGCGGCAGCGGCACTTCCTCGGCTGCTTTTCTCTTTCCGTTTCTTTTTGTCTCGCTTCGCGAAAAAGTCGTCTAAGCTCCTCTCCTCGGTTTCTGCCATGGCGATGGCGGCGGTAGCTCCTCCTCACGCTCCGGTTCAAACCGGATATGACTGACGGACTGACCAGTCGCGTCTCCTTAAGGACAGTCAGCGATCCCCAAAACCTCAATGGTTGAGGGGAGAGGAGAAAGGGCAGTGAGAATTCGGCGCGCTCAGCAGCCTCGCGTGCTCTTTACGTTCGACTGGGTACCCGCCGTTTCCGTTCTCTTGTGGGTAGCAGAGGTCCAGGCTTAAACTGCCGCCGCGGGCGCGCTTTCACTCCTGTTCCTGCCTCAACGCAATTCGTTCGAAGAGGAGCAGAACAGCTTCCGCTCCCCACGTTGATGGCCACACTTGCCACAGCCGAAACAGAAGGCTGAGAAGAAGAAAGGGAGGGGCACCGTCAGAGCTTTTCTAATGTAATATTCGAAGAGCCACTTTATTGGGCATTGGAGCGGGAAGGAGGGAAAGCGCATGCACTTGTCCCTCCGTCCACCAACCCGCTGAAAGAAACGAAGAGTCTTGGAGCCAATTAAAAGGCCTGGAGAGGGGGGCGGTTACTGACGTGCCCTTAGTAGTGAGTGCCGGCAGCATGAACGTTAGGAATTCCTAGTGCGCATGCATGGCGACAGTAGAATTTTGAGAAGTGATTCGTTAGCGTGAAGTGGGCGGAGCTTGGCGTGGGCATGCGCTATGAGGCGGGAGAGGAGTCTGCAATTTGACTTTACTTCTAGTGACTTCTCCGAAGCATGGACGAAGGTAGATTGCAAAGGTCGCGGAAATGTGGCTTATTGCTATCAAAGGGTTCTTTTTAATTATCTTCTTAACTTGAGTTTGGAGCGCCTGTAGTTGTTTTTCTCGTGCTTTTTGTATCCTAAAGTTCCCTTTAGAATTATCAGCAAAATAGATTTAAAAGGTTTTGCTCCAAGTCATTACCAGTTGTTTTTTTTAAAACAAATTTTATTAGTTTTTGAAGACAAACAAAACATAAACCTTGTACACATTAAACCTCTTTCCCTTGTAAGTTTTTACAAGGCAGATAATACAATATTTTATACAGTGTGATTTTAATATATCCCATTTCTACTTAAATATCTTTTAACACTCTCATTTCTTCTCATTAAATTTAATCATCATATTCATATTTCCCTCTGTCTTGTTTGCAATTGTTCTCCTCCCGCTTTCCTCCAAGGTTTTATTAAATCTCACATAGACATAGACACACAAAACACATAAGGTAAAACTTCTTTTTCAAAAAAGTAGCTTGGCCCCGGATTACCACTCTTTGTATGGACTTCAATTAAATTCATATTCATCTTATATGCCATTACCTATCTTAATTACCATTCTGTAATTTCTTTATAACTTCTCCCCGCTTTCCTCTCTTCTTAATTCTATTTTGTTTATTAACTTAATTTAAATCATTATATTTCTATCCTTTGTCCATTGTTTTCCAATTGTCTATATATTTCATTTCCCATAGTAAAATAAAAGAATTTCTCCTGAAATCACAAATCAAAGTATGATGCCTTTCCATCGCACCTCTAAATTAACATTTAAGGTAACTCCAAATTCCCTATTTGATTCTGCTTAGTACATACTACTTACAAAAAGAAAATAGTGAATCCATAACATAATTAAATATGTCATTAAACATTAAATCTCATAACATTCCAATTATCTATTTCAAAAGCAAGTATTACAATAATATATTCATACTAACATCCACACAATAGTCAATTAAAATCTATATTTAAACTAAATATTTTAGACCTTCCTTTAATATTTTAGTTTTTACTTAAATCTTATAAAATTATAATTTTCTATTTCTAATACAAATACTACAATACTATCATATGTACCTTGCAGAATCCTTTTAAAACAAAATTATATTACCCTTTATCCCTAAAAAACCATTTCTTTTTCACATCTTGTTTGATACCCTCGTGGCCTTTTCCCCCCTTCTTCCTCCCTGTCTTATCCCATCTGGTCTTTTTACCCCCCTTAACTTCCCCTCTCTGTTGTATTTCTCTTTCCTTTTGCTTTCTAGCCTTATATTGATTTTGCATCTTATTTTTCTCTTTCTTAGATATTTTTTTAAGTCTTATATCCTTTTTTTCCCCTTTCTTTCTCCTTCCTTTCTTAAGCACCTCTATGGGTTCATTAAAGATGGCTTCTTCTTCTTCTTCCATCAATTGTTGTATTTGCTGATAAGTAGCAAGCGCCATTTCTAAAAAGCAAAAAATTTCTCCCACATCGTCTTTCTTTATTTTGCCATATTCCTCTCTCAGTTCATCAGCAGATAAAGTCATTGTAAATCCTCCTCTTCTTCTTCTTAAAACAGCCAAAGGTATTTCCAAGCTTAAAGCAAATCCCAAAGTCCCAAAGTCACCAAACAATCCAAACAAAGCACAAAATTCTTCCCTTCTTCCTGGGTTAAAATCAGTTGCAAAGGGAGAAAAAAAACAACCAGTCTGTGTTTTAAGTTCTTATTACAGTAACTTCCAATCTCTAAAATCTTCCAGGCATCTCCTTCGACAAAATCTTAGTATAAATTTTCCTTTTGTCCTCTCCCTTCCCATTTATAACAAGAAGCTTTAGATTTTTACCTTTTATAGAATAGTAGTATTTTCAGCATTCATTTGTTAATTCCATGTGAAAGGAGAGTAAACTTTCACTTGAAAACACTTTCACTCGCCGCTTGCCAATCTCTTCTGGAAACAAAGTATCTTTCAAACAAAAAACCAAATCTTAGATTTCAGGGTATTAAATGTATCTTCTAATCCCAGTTCAGCCAAAAAAACTTTCGCTTCAAAAATTTCTCCTTCTTCCTCCAGCACGATCTTGTCCGGTTGCTGGCTTCTTTGTGGCGGCCATTGCTGACCGCCGCTGGACCGACTTGAGAAAAGGAGGTTATGCCGGGTGGGGAAGGGGTCTGCGAACACCCAACCCCTTGTCCGGATCCTCCCTGTCTTCGGTTGCCTCTACGGGGCAACCTTATCCTCCGGACCCGTCTGGGTCGGAGGAACCAAGAGCGGCTAGCGCGGCGGGGATCGCAGAGATCGCGAAACCCCGCCGCCTCCGAAGCCTGGCGAAACCCGTCATTACCAGTTTTAAAGTCGCTACATCCTGCCATGATGTAGACGCAAGGCTTACTTCCATACATTGATTAAAATATACTACGTTAAATGCAACTTCAGTTGCGTTAAATATTTTGTGTGTATAAGGATCTCTCATTTTAAACCTTGTTTATTATTCCAAAAAGTGTTTTTTCCTTATTGTTTACATTGTAGGAAGTTAGCACCCACCCCCTCCTGGAAAAATGAAATATCCTGAGAAATATTAAAAAGGCAGAATATTTCCCCTAAAAAGAGTAAAGTAGAAACTCAGAGAAGCAGAAACTCAGGCCCCCCCCCCTTTGCTAATGGGCCATTAAGGCCTAGACCAGAGTATTCTACATAATAAAGGGTCTACCCATCTCACCACCTGGCCTGGGAAGATTGTATTGCCAACACTCAGGTGAAGCCATGTGGTCCAGACAAAGCCTACAAAGTTAGCTAAGACCCCCCACCCCTGGGAGTCTGACAGCCAATGGGATATATTTTTTACACAGGAACAGGAAACACTAAGGTGGGCGCCAACAGAGGTTATATAAGGGTCTCTCAGCATCTTGATCTTCCCTTCTTGACCTTCCCTTCTCACCTTGAAGTATGTGATCATCTCTTTTTCATTTTGGATCTCCAAGCCATGTGGTCCTGCTGTCCACCATTAAACCATCTTTCCAAATAGCCTCCATGTTTCCAGTGTCTTTTTCCCCACTTGGAACTGAACCCAGAAGGATATTTCTTTCAACAATTGGCACCCCAGATGGGACTCCAAGCTAACCTAACCAATGGACCAGGCCCAGGTAAGATTCCCTCGCCAGCAAACAGACCCATTGAGTCTCTGGGTGAGTTTTTCCTGGACCTTGGCCATTTGGGAAAAAAAGGTTTTAAGGGGGTTTTGAGTGTTGAGCTCAAAGGCTGCTTGGAAAGAAGGTGAGTACCTTTAAATTTTAATTTTAAAGCATGGGAAAACGTGGGAAATGTGTGTATGCCTGTGTGTGAATGAGAAAGAGATCTTTCTTCCTCTGTGTGTTCTACCAGGAGAGCTAGTATCAATTATATTACTGTTTATAACAATAATATTCATGCTATTTGTTTAACCAAGGTAATGTATCTCCCTTATATCACTAATCTTTTCATATATTTCCCTTTTTTCCCTGTTCTTGTCTGCTAGCCATTGATGAGTCCCAAGGGGAAAAAAATCAGTTTCTTCCTTTTCCTTAATTGTAAATGTTAGCTTAGTTTAATCACATCTTCATCGGTTGGGATTTCTTCACTTTTCCATTGTTGTGCAAATACTATTCTCCCTGCAGTCAATACATGTAAATACATTCCCTTTGTTATACTGTTTGGTAGTATGCCCAACAAAAATGTATCTGGTTTCAAATCTATATGTTTTTTTATCATTTTCCCCTCAAGCCATGTATGTGTTTCTGTCTAATATTTTTTTCCACTTTTTGACATGCCCACCACATATGATAGTATGAACCAGGTATCTGATATTTCCAACATTCTGCAGATTTACTCTTAAACATCTTTGCTAACCTTGAAGGCAGAAAATGCTATCTATAAAACATTTTATAAAGATTTTCTTTGTATGCAGTAGACATTGTTAATTTATCATTTCTATCCCATAAATTCTGCCATTGATCTAACTCAATCGAAACCCAAAATTTTTAGAATCTTGCAACATTTTCAAGTTTATCCTTGCTTTTTTTTTTCCCTTGCCAAATCCAGTTTTATTGGTATTGCTTGGAATAAATATAGTAATCTTGGCAGGGTATTCAATTTTATGGTCGCTACTCTTTCCATCAATGATAGTTGTAGATTTTTCCACTTAACCAAATTTGTTTTAATTGGTTGCACCAATTTATAATAACTTGACTATCTGTATACCTATTTTCCTAGTTCTTTTTCTATAAATCTGTAAACAATTATTTTGATTTTTTTTCTTTATTTATTTTCAGTCCTGCAACTTCACCATACTCTTCTATTTTCTTAATTAGTTTGAGTCCATTTTCTTGTGGGTCTTCCAAAATAAAGAGCAAATCTACAAATCCCTATAATTTATATTGTTCCCTGTTTATTTCCATAGCTTTAATTTCTATCTCTTGTCAAATATTTCTATTTAGCAATTCTAATATCAATATGAATAGTAAAGGAGATAGTGGACATCCTTTCCTTGTGCCTTTTTATATTAAAAATCTCTGTCCTATTTCCATTTTTTATCATCTTTGCCATTTGTTTATGGCAAATTGCCTTTGAAATTGCCTTCACCCGTGAACAGCAGCTGGATCTCATTTCTTTGTTTGGCCTCAAGCTGCCCTCTTGCCTGTTGCTAGCTATAGAGAGCCATGATCATCAGGACAGGAAAAGCAAGGGGGGCCATCGGAGTGTGTTGAGGTAATTCCCCATTAGGAGAATGAGCGCATACGGGGAGACGTATTTGAGAGAAGTGTTTGAAT